ACAATCAAATATAACTTAACAATCAATACGAATTTACCATCTTACATCTTGTTATCATACAATAAAATACAAATCACACAATCAAAACTAGTTTACCAGTATAACCTGGTATTTAACCTACAATAAAAACCACAATCAATGCAGTTTAGCAGCTTATACTGTGTGTTTACTTAACAAGTAATTAAGTTAATTCCAGTATACCATCCCAACACTTGTGTTTACCATACAATAAAAATACATGATCAATGGCAGTTTACCATCTTACACATAGTTACTACTTCTTCTTCTTCTTCTTTCGTTCGCATGAAATAAATTGTCTATATCTGCAAAGCTGTCTCTAGTATGAATTTCACTGTCTTTTGTAATTCACTAAGCGGCCCGTAAAGTTTGACTTCCACAAGTGTCTCTTTTGGCCAAAGGTTTTGCCTGAAAGCGTTGAATCTGGGACAGTCTTGAAGGATGTGATCTGTTGTTTCAGGTGCCAGTCCACAAGTACACATGGCTGATTGGCCAATAGTTACTACTATAAAAGAACATTTAAACAACACTATCATTGATAGTTTAACATAATTAAAAAAAAAAAAAACAATTCCTGTTTATCTTTCTACATCTTGTGTTATCTGCCACATTACACCAAAAACATTCTTTAAAGACACACATATTTTTAGCAGAATGTTGAATAAAGAATCAACATTATAGCACTCGGAACACTCCCATAAGCGCTCCGACCCTATCTTTAGCAGCGAGTGAAGAGTTCCAATAACACCAGTAACTGACTGGATATCCATCTTGCCTTTCCATTGATTGTTGAGCATCAGACTTATCCCCTTGTAACTCCTCGCTATTTTTTTTAAGCAATATTAGAATATCATCATCATTGCTCATCACCACACTGCTGTACTGTTATGACACAAAGGGGGAGCTGTTTGTTCTCCCGCTCTCTTCTATCTAGTGCAATTGTTTCAATATCATGGCTGGAATCTAGTCCAGCCACTTTAGCCTCTCTCACCAATGTCTCTCTAAGGGTTTCTTCTGGCTGTCCTCATCTCCTCATTTCACCCGTTTCCCATTTAAGTGCCTGTCTGGTGATTCTATATTCGCTTCTCGTCAGGATGTGCCAAATTTATGGCCACCTTCTTCGTATTTCAACTGTCACAGGCTCCTACCAAGCTAACTATTGTGCACCTCTTTTTTAAACTACAAAATCATTAACATTTACAGACAAGAATTTAATCTACTGGAAATCAGAATACTAAATGTCATCTACAGTAACAAAGATGTATCTGTTTGAAAATGCCATTTTGAATATTTAGTATGAATCTGAATACTAGGATACCTTATTCTGCATGAAATAATCTGACATTCAAACTTAAACAGTTGTGCCCACAAATCAACCTCATGAAAATTGCAATGATAACACACGGATGACTATTTCTAACTCATTACATTCTCACACTTGTTAGAAATATCTTTACTAAAATGTTAATACTTTGATTATTTTACACAAGCATGCAAAACACTGACAATCTAGTTTCAATCAAAAACCAAAAAATGTACAATCTACTTTCCGATGCAAAAACACTTTCAGTCTACTTTAGTTCACTCTAGTCTACTCAGATACCCACTCTCCTGGCTCTTTAACTGTTCCACGCTGAATGTATTGTTTTTTAAGCAGTATTTTTTTTAATTTTTTTTTACATTTAGTCATAGTTTCAAAAAACCAGTAGCTGATAAAGAACCGCTGTTTCCATAAATAAAAAAAAAAAAGACAATACCTAAAATACACGCTAAACAGAACCACGGCATTCTGCAGTTAGTTTGACAACAGCTAAAAAGATTTTTTTTTTTTTTTTTTAAACAGTGCTTTACATTTGTTTGTAAACAAACAGATTTATGGTTACTGCACATAAAAACTCTTTTTGACAACATTAAAACTAAATCTACATTAAACAGAATTTTTAAAAACACTGCTTTTTTTTTTTACATTTATTGCATAAAGCCAGCATGCTTGCCAGATGGTCAACAGTTCTAATCCCCTTTCAGACAAGACATTTTTAGTGACAGGCTCTTAGGTTGACCCAACCTAAAATGGACGCTAAAAAATTTCTTGGGGAGCAAACGTGGTCGGCACTAAACTGGCTGTATCGCCAACTGAGGGCTGGTCTGTCTACAAATACAGGACTAGCACTATTGACTTTGGATGCTTTAAGGCATGTACAAGGATCTTTTACTAAGCCAAAGCAAACATGTGTTAACTCCTTCACCACAAGAAGCCGCAAAACGGACACTTTTGGTTTGTGTCAGACCACCATAAATGCCGCTTTGCTATGGTGGCTTGTTCATGAGAAGTCTAGCTAACCACACTGGAACCCTTTATACCGGCCCAAATGTTTAGGAGCATCTTGATGATTTTATTTGCTTAAAATAGTATTTAAGTGGGTTTGCTTGTGACGTCAGAATTTCTAATTAGTCATAGTTTTTCCCTAAATGATATCCCCTCTTAAATTTATTCTATGGTTCATCAACTGGGAACCCACTGCTTCAGGAGAAATGAAACAGATGACTCCAAGATGTTATCTGTGGAACACAATATTATACCAACAGCCTGTACTTCTATCTACATTCACAAATTTTAATTGTAATGCCTTATATCAGCGTTTCTCATTCTGCTGGTCGCGACCCGTAAGACCATCGTAAAACATATACATTAAAGTTATGAAGGAAAATAGTTGTTTGTGGGTTGCCACAACATAAGGAAACTGTACTAAAGGGTTGTGGCATTAGGAAGGTTGAGAGCCATTGCCTTATATGGATTGGTCTATACAGCCCTATATGCCCAATACACAGGAATACATGGAACAGGATCCTTTACTTACTTTACAATACTCCACCAACTTACCATCACAATTAAAGCTATAACCGTTCCATCAACTAAACATCTCAATGTTAAAGCTATCAATGCTCCACCAAATGTTGGGAGTTAATAATGCTCTAGCAACTCAATGCCATAATGTTAAAGCTATTACTGCTCCACCAACTCAACATCACAACGTTAAATTTATCAATGCTCCACCAACTCAACGTTAAATTTATCAATGCTCCACCAACTCAATATCACAATGTTAAATTTATCAATGCTCCACCAACTCAACGTTAAATTTATTACTGCTCCACCAACTCAACGTTAAATTTATCAATGCTCCACCAACTCAATATCACAATGTTAAATTTATCAATGCTCCACCAACTCAACGTTAAATTTATTACTGCTCCACCAACTCAACGTTAAATTTATCAATGCTCCACCAACTCAATATCACAATGTTAAATTTATCAATGCTCCACCAACTCAATATCACAATGTTAAATTTATCAATGCTCCACCAACTCAACGTTAAATTTATCAATGCTCCACCAACTCAATATCACAATGTTAAATTTATTACTGCTCCACCAACTCAATATCACAATGTTAAATTTATCAATGCTCCACCAACTCAACGTTAAATTTATCAATGCTCCACCAACTCAATATCACAATGTTAAATTTATCAATGCTCCACCAACTCAACGTTAAATTTATTACTGCTCCACCAACTCAACGTTAAATTTATCAATGCTCCACCAACTCAATATCACAATGTTAAATTTATCAATGATCCACCAACTCAACGTTAAATTTATTACTGCTCCACCAACTCAACGTTAAATTTATCAATGCTCCACCAACTAAATATCACAATGTTAAATTTATCAATGCTCCACCAACTCAATATCACAATGTTAAATTTATCAATGCTCCACCAACTCAATATCACAATGTTAAATTTATCAATGCTCCACCAACTCAATATCACAATGTTAAATTTATTACTGCTCCACCAACTCAATATCACAATGTTAAATTTATCAATGCTCCGCCAACTCAATATCACAATGTTAAATTTATCAATGCTCCACCAACTCAATATCACAATGTTAAATTTATTACTGCTCCACCAACTCAATATCACAATGTTAAATTTATCAATGCTCCACCAACTCAACGTTAAATTTATCAATGCTCCACCAACTCAATATCACAATGTTAAATTTATCAATGCTCCACCGACTCAATATCACAATGTTAAATTTATCAATGCTCCACCGACTCAACACCACAATGTTAAATTTATCAATGCTCCACCGACTCAATATCACAATGTTAAATTTACCAATGCTCCACCGACTCAACATCACAATGTTAAATTTATCAATGCTCCACCAACTCAATATCACAATGTTAAATTTATCAATGCTCCACCGACTCAACATCACAATGTTAAATTTATCAATGCTCCACCAACTCAACGTTAAATTTATTACTGCTCCACCAACTCAACGTTAAATTTATCAATGCTCCACCAACTCAATATCACAATGTTAAATTTATCAATGCTCCACCAACTCAATATCACAATGTTAAATTTATCAATGCTCCACCAACTCAATATCACAATGTTAAATTTATTACTGCTCCACCAACTCAATATCACAATGTTAAATTTATCAATGCTCCACCAACTCAACGTTAAATTTATCAATGCTCCACCAACTCAATATCACAATGTTAAATTTATCAATGCTCCACCGACTCAATATCACAATGTTAAATTTATCAATGCTCCACCGACTCAACACCACAATGTTAAATTTATCAATGCTCCACCGACTCAATATCACAATGTTAAATTTATCAATGCTCCACCGACTTAATATCACAATGTTAAATTTATCAATGCTCCACCGACTCAACATCACAATGTTAAATTTACCAATGCTCCACCGACTCAACATCACAATGTTAAATTTATCAATGCTCCACCAACTCAATATCACAATGTTAAATTTATCAATGCTCCACCGACTCAACATCACAATGTTAAATTTATCAATGCTCCACCGACTCAACACCACAATGTTAAAGGTTAAAGCTAACAAATGTGCATCATTAGACTCACTCTAATTTCTTCCGAATGCCAAGTTTACGGAAAACGGTGCGCATGCGAGGCTCAACGTATGTGTAGGCACCCATGTTCTTGTGCTCTTCTTGGGCCCAACAAATTCTTGCTTTGGGGTATTTCTCCACCTCTGCCTTGATGAGGTCAAAGGGGAAGGGTGTCAACTGGTACCAGAAATAGATAAATCAGGTTATAAATGTCAGTGGTACAATTTCAAAAACACACATATATTTTTACTTTATGTGTACTTCTTGAGTGGGATCTGGGGCACCAATTTCATAAACATATTCACTACCCATTAACAATGTTGTTATGTTTGTTATTCGACTTTTGCTTGGTTAATATACATTTCTGTAACCAGTGCCTCCTTTGCAATGGTTTGAGACAAAATCTGTTCATATTCCATAGTTGTGGATTCAAGCTGTATGAAAAACATGGTTCAATGCGTAAAATTCGTTGTGTTGCTGGAAGCTCACTAAGCGTGGCACCCCTGCAACACAGGACAGGCCCCATGATACGACCAGGGATGAATGGCAAGGGAAGTCACTCTTTTTCTTGGCTTGACTTTGTGAGTTGTACCAACAAGAGTAATGCTGCCCAACTGCAATAGTCAGTAAATTATATTCACAAGTTTTTCTTATCACAGAAATAATTTCACAGGGATCAAATTTTTTTTTTTTAAAGTCATATTATCTATTCTTATGGAAACAAATTCACAAGTTTCAAATCTCAAGAGACCAGTCTTCTTCTTCTTAACATTCATGGGCTGTAAACTCCAACGGTAACTTCTGGTTGTGCACCCACCTCTGGACTTTGGTCCTGCTACAGAACTTGAGTCTGGCTTAACTGTAAGGAGACTGTTGGTTCATCGCCACTAAGACAGATGCATTTCAACTTTGAAGGCAACAACCCTAATTAGCCATCTTTTATATGACAAACTTGGGGAGGGCAGTGGGCTTGTTCCTGTTTTCTCCAAAAGGGGGTCTAAGAACAGTGAATGTCATCAGTTTTATACTCTCACAGATATAATTTCAATTTCAAAAGACCAACTTTTCTTCTTCGCTTTTACCGGTTGTTAGCTCCGGCAGAAAGTCCCGCTTGTCTGTCCACCTCTGGACTTTTGTCTTGTTCCTGAACTTGAATTCTTCATGCATATCCATTTTACAGATCTGGCTTGTTTGTATACAGGCTGTTGGTTCCTGGTCTCAGGCAGAGGGACTTCGAAGGAACAACCCCTAATTAATCAACAGTTACCACATGCTTGTTGGGAAATGGGGGGCACTAAGTGTATTCTTTTTGTGTGTACCGCCACAAAGGAGCCTCAGAACCATCAGGAAAAGGGGGAGCCGACTATTTTCACAGTATCTACCACCAGAGAAAAAAAAATGTGATGAGCTTCCACGGCCTGACTGTTGAATAAACGACTCATACAAACACAAACAAGGTACCTGTTCTACTCGTGTGATCGCAAGATCTGCACTGAGCTGCTTGGCTTCTCTCTCTTTGACAAACTCGTAATAGACCTTGCCAGTGCAGAAGATGAGCTTCTTGACACCATTTGGGTTCTGGGCTGCTTCGCCAGCTTCAGGGATTACCCGCTGGAAACGGGTGCCTTCAACCATGTCATCGAAACTTGAGCGGGCCTCAGGGAGTCGAAGAAGTGACTTTGGTGTGCACACAACCAGCTGAACAGAAGGAATATATTTATATATATACACACACAAACACTGTTACATGAACGGATGGTCAAGGTGGCCACTGTTAGATGACTAGACAGTCCACGGCAAACCCCAAACTGTCGGGTGACTTCTTCTTCTTCTTTTCTTTCATTATTTACCTCAGTGAGATGTTGGGGGGAGATGTACGGATCATTTGTGTGCTTCTTCCAATGCAATGTACAAGCTGGTGTTCATTTCTGTTAGGTTGCTCCTGATGATGTCACTCCATATCTTGCGTGGTCTTTCCCTTGCCCTGTTTTATATTTCTTCAGCGTGGCGGTTGGTACCAGGGCATTCTCGTCAGGTGGCCAAACCATCTCATTTGTTGTTTTTTAACAAACTGTATGACTGGTTTCGGTCATAGTCTTCTTCTAATTTCTTCATTCTTTATTTTTATCTCTTCTTGTAACACCAGCAGCTCCCCTAAGACATCTCACTCTCTGTTGTTACGATTTTCCGCTTGTTAGTTGTAGTTAGGGTCCATGTTTGGCACTGGTAGCACAATGCTGCCCCCCCCCCCCCCCCCCCCCAAAACATTCTTATGAGATTTAATTTGGTTGACAGAGGTATCTTTCTACGCCTCAGAAGCAGTGACTGGACACTCAAAAGCAAGCTATATGCAAACTCAAAACATTGTTTTCCCCTAATGAATTTAAACAATGCAAAAATCTAAGATGAAATACACACCAACTATTAGGTAAGTGAATAATCTAATTTGAACCATGGACAAAATGTCAGAAAAACTCACCATCATCATCGCCTTGCCAGCTGGCGTAGGTGTTCATGCATGGCCACAGATCTACGTCTTTGGTGTTCTGGATCAATTCCCTTGATGATATTCCTCCATGCCACTGTCTTAAACTATCCACCATCATTTCTCTTGGTCTGCCTCTCCTACCAGTGATCTTTCCGGTCGTCACGATATTTTCCAGTGCTCCTTTTCTCACCACTGACCAAACAAATTTGTTCTCCTTTTCCCTGCTGTATATAATGTTCCTCTTTCATTAGCCATTTCCAGACAATCACTGTTAGTTATTCTGGCAGTCCAGGTACACATCTCTGTTGCCTCCAAACTCTTCTTAATTTGTTTGCTCACATTCCAAGATTCACCGCCATACAAGAGAACAGGCTCGATGTAACATTTCAGAACTCATTTTCTGATGTTTAATGAGTGATTTATTACATATTTTTCATTTTTCTGAAATGCAGCCTTTGCCTGGCCAATTCTGCTCTTAATTTATGTCACACATCGTCCAACTGATGTTACGGATGTCCCTAAATACTTGAATTTATTAGGGAAACTGGCAGTTTAAAAGTAAATTTACACAAACTTCAGCACACAGGAACTTACAGGTTTTCTGAAGGGAAGTGCAATCTGTCTCCTCATGGCATGGAAGAAATTAGCAGGGGTGGTAAAGTTGCACACAAACCAGTTGGTCTCATGCAGCTGTTGGATCTCAAAATTGGGGCCCTCAGGCTGGTAAAGAAGATAGGGAATGTCAATTATCAATCATCCGTAACTATCTACTCAAGCACAGTGCCATATTCAATACTTAGATCTAGCCCGTTTTATCTTTCTGCTAACTTCTTTCTCTTCAGCATTCCAAGCCCTCGAGGTTGACCCCCGCAGTTATCACCCTCCTCCATTCACTGACATTTTTCCCCTCCAAATATGAGGCTCAGATATGTTTTGTGACTTAAAAAAAAAGGTTTGACAAAGGTGAGGCTGTTGGCCCTATGTTTACATTTCTGTCAAAATCCTCAAATCTAACCAGTCCTGTTATTATTAGCTATATTTTGCAGACCCCAAAGATTTTGGTGCCCTGTGCAGCTGCACATCATGCACTTGCCTAAATAGCACCCTTGTGACAAGGAAGGGAACTGGGCACATCATATCACTGATGGCACTACAAATTCACCTTGTTGAAACTTTAGCAATTTTTATCAAAGCTTATTTTCAAGGCTGTTATTTGTCACTTTACATGATGCTAAAGGCACATTTGTGAATTCCTCCTCCAAATATGTTTGTTGTGATCATCGCCTCAAATAGGTCAATCCGAGGCATGCGTCCGTCTCAAGTGCTGGAGATCCCGGGCTCAGGCCCCGGTGAAGGCTGGGATTTTTTCCCAGAAATGAATGTCTAGTAATTTCCCCTGCTCTCTGGGTAGTAAGATCGGACGCCCATGTGTATTGTTGCACAAAATTTGGAGTTTAAAATCTACCTAAAGTATTTTCAGGATCCTCGCCGGTGTTACGGAGGTCGTACACTGCGCTGAGAATCTTTGGACTCAGGCTTCAGTTAGAAGTAGAATGGAGCACATAAGGGTTACTTACTACCCTTGTGCCAAGATGTTGATCTTTTGTATAAACCAAACCAACCAACTAAATAGGTCACCAAGAAGTATTAATTGTCAAACAACTGAGCAATTCCTTTAAGATCTCAATGTTCAAATGCAGATTTATGTTGTGGCCCAGCGGCAAATATCTGCTTTGGAACTATCTTCATCCTTTTAAATGAATTAGTACATAGTATACATGTCAACAGCCAAAAGAGCACAGGCTAAGCTGTTTGAATTGTCACTTTAGTAACAAAAAAAATTACTGCCTTACCAAGGACTGAACTTGCAACTTCTGGTTTATGAGATCACATTCTAACTATTTAATCACAACAATCAATATTAAATGAAGGTAAATAATTAAACCCAAAAAAAAAAAAAAATGACTATTATATCCAGAATGTACAGATATTGATAAAAATGACCCCACAAAATATTTTTTTCTAAAGTAGGGTCTAGATACCACCTTACAGTTTAGAACAAGAAGTAACTTTAACAAGGTAAACAGTACAAAACAAGATCTAAATTCTGAATTTATTAAAGTTAACATACTGTTTAGTATAAGAAGTAAACTTTAACTTCAACAAGGTGAACAGTTTGGAACAGGATCTAAACTCTGAATTTATCGAAGTTAAACATTGCTTAGTATAAGAAATAAACTTCAACTTTAACAAGGTGAACAGTTTAGAACAAGATCTAAACTCCAAATTTATCAAAGTTAGCATACTGTTTAGTATAAGAAGTAAACATCAACTTTAACAATGTGAACATGCAGTTCAGAATAAGATCTCAATTTCACTGTTAAAAAAGTGAACTTACTGGAAAATAATCTGAATCATCATTGCTACACTGCAGGAATCTCTCCAACCTGCAGCTGGAGTGTTCAGGACCCTGAAACATTGCAGCAAGTGAGTAAACATTAGGTTAGTTGCGTATCCTTTACAGGAAGTTGCAGAACCAACCTCCGCATTTACTGACTGTTGTTAAATTCACTAAGCAATTTTACTCTCAATGCTGCTGTCAAAACCAACACAAGAGGGTCTGTAGCAAATCGCCAGCAGCTGGGGTCGAACACAGTACCTCAAAATACAAAGCGAGTTCGCAATGCCTCAGCCACATATCATCATCGTCATCATCACCAAATGCCCTGCAGATTACCCTGGGCAATAATGCCTCTCTAGAATCTTGTGATTTCACCAACATGTAACAGTACCTGTGTTGATATTCTTCCATCTAGGACAAACGGCTGTCAAGAATATCTTCTGTTGTTTCCTTTGGCCCCTTTTCAACAGATCTTTTCACAGGTTACCACTTGTTCCAGTTTCCTTCTTCTCATAACATGACCAAAACATGATGACTATCTCTTTCTGATGCTAGTGAAAAGTTGTCTTCAAGCCCTGGCCAGTTAAGCAACATTAACCACATTATAAATCAACATTAAAAGAAATCCCATAACTGGTACCACCAAGGATCATACTTCCGTAAAGCTATGAAATCTTCCACAACTGAATGAGTTAATATTTTGTACTGAATTACTTCTTGTCAAAGATGGCTATAATCACACCGTGCTTCTGACATCCTAAATACTTCGTTAAATGTATCATATCCACAGGTCATGGTGGTATCTTCTTTTTCTCTGAGAGTTAACCAGCTGTAAAGTGTGGCGGAGGGTTCTGGCTGTTCACCCACTTCTGGATTTTAGTCTTACTCCACAATTTGAATCAAGCACGCACATCCATTACAAATATAGTTTATTTGCATGCAAAATGTTGGTTCTTTGCCTCTCAGGCAGATGCACTTCAACTTCAAAGGAAACACCCCTACCTGGTTGTCTTTTAGACATGCTTGTTAAGAGGGCAGTGGGTCTATTCCCCACCCCCCACTCGAGGCCCCGAAAAGTCTAACCAGGTGGCGTAAACTATCATCCAAGCCATTAATACTTACAGCAATAATATTTTACATTCTGGACAAGCTGAATCACCAACACACAAAAGACTGCAAGAACTTCAGGTCAAAAAAGGTGTTGAAAAAGCCATTAATACTTACAGCAATAATATTTTACACTCTGGACAAGTTGAATCAGCAACACTCAAAAGACTACAAGAACTTCATCTCAAAAGAGGTGTCGACACACATGAACACTATACAGGTACCCAAAGAAGAATAGTAAATCCATACAGAACTGGTGTTATCAGTCGCCACACTCTGGGGGATAAACTGAAGAAGGGATTCGAGGGCTTATGGGCTTGTCCAATGTGCAGTAAGGACAATCTTTAGATTAACTAGTTAACTAACTAATTCTGGACAAGTTGACATTAAACACAAAATCAAACATACCATCCCTTCAAAGCCATGTGGAAGCAGCAGCACAATGCCGGACTGCCGAACCCATTTGGCTTGACCACTGGAAATAAACTGGTCAATGATGCACTGTGCTGTGTTAACAAAGTCTCCAAATTGAGCCTCCCAGATGACCAGGGCATTGGGGTTTGTTATAGAGTAACCCAGTTCAAATCCTATTAGACAACAGGAAATTCATTTGAACAAGTTAACACAAATTAATGCTGACAGATTTACATATTTAAAAAATTCACATGAACAAGTTAACAAAATTCAGTTCTAACAGGATTTACATACATAAACTTGGTCTAGTCAACTTCTTTACACATTCAGTACAATTAATACTATTGACTTTTACTTTGCTCTTTCTGCTGTGAAAACAAGAGAAGAAGGACCTCTTGAAGCAGCAAAAAAAAAAAAAAAAAATAATAATAATAAAGATATCCTTTCTTCTCCCATCCTTATTTTTAAAAAAAAATGACAAATAACAAATAAACTTTCCACCAGATTATAAAAAGAATTTGAAAAGAATCCCCAGGTGTGTTCCGGGACTCCAAAGGTGGTGGGGGGAGGGAGAGAGAGAGGGGGGAGCAGTGCCCCTAACAGGATTGCTGTAAAAGTCAAATAATTAAAGGTTTGCTGAAAACTGACGATTTGGGGTGAAAAGCTCAGGTGTCACATCCTAGATGTAAACCATGGGACAAGATGGTAATTACCCTTTTAGGCACAAATGCAGAAGAGGGAGACTAAAGACAAGAACAATAATAAAACAATGATAACTGGAAGTAAGAAAAACCTCTGAAAATAATAATAATAAAATAAAAATTCTGTCAAACACACTTACTGAAACCTGCAAGCAAAAAGTTCATGAAAATGATAAAAGTGCAATAGAAAAAGGCTTACAGAATAAAAATACAGCAAGTGGATGGACCAGTGAAACAAGCAGCAAAATGATAATTAAAGTATGAAGAATTCCTGTGTGAATTTGGGTCCCTAATAATATCAGACACACTCCCACTGAAACAAGCTTGTTGTAAAGGGAGACTAATTAAGCCCTTGCTGAAACTGGATGCGCTGGACAGAAAGATGCAGATATCACTGTCTAGCTTAAATCACAAAACAATGTGCTAACTGCCCTCTGGAGGAGAAGAAGAAGAAGAAGAAGAAGAAGAAGAAAAGAAGAAGAAGAATTCACTCATAGTTGATTACGCAATATACGGTACATACCAAGAACACCATACTCTGACAAGGAACTGTTGCAGACGGTGTAGGTAGCCTGGTCTGGGTAAAGGGTGTTCAAGGGCACAATCGTCTTCTTGTCAATGGTCTGATGGTGTAGGACATGATGGCGGTGGCTGCACACAGATCAATTTAAATGGAAACTTTGGAACTTTTATGGAAACCAAAAAAAAAAAAAAAATAATTTAACAAAACCTAACTTCAATCTTTGTTTTTTAGCCCATGCCATGTGTGGCGTTAATAGTCATGTCATTCCACAATCCTCTGTCTCATGTACTTTCAATCAATTGATTAGCTTCCATGCCATGTGTGGTGTTGGTAGTCATGTCATTCCACAATCGTCTGTCTTGTGTACTTTCAATCAATTGATTAGCTTCCATGCCATATGTGTCCTTGGTAGTCATGTCTATCCACAATTGTCTGTCTCGTGTACTTTCAATCAATAGATGAACTTCTATTCCATGTGTGTCGTTCGTATTCATGTCTATCCACAATCGTCTGTCTCGTGTACTTTCAATCAATTCTGACACAGATGATCTTCCATGCCATGTGTGGTGTTGGTAGTCATGTCTATCCACAATCGTCTGTCTCGTGTACTTTCAATCAATTCTGACACAGATGATCTTCCATGCCATGTGTGGTGTTGGTAGTCATGTCTATCCACAATCATCTGTCTCATGTACTTTCAATCAATTCTGACACAGATGATCTTCCATGCCATGTGTGGTGTTGGTAGTCATGTCTATCCACAATCGTCTGTCTCGTGTACTTTCAATCAATTCTGACACAGATGATCTTCCATGCCATGTGTGGTGTTGGTAGTCATGTCTATCCACAATCATCTGTCTTGTGCACTTTCAATCAATTCTGACACAGATGATCTTCCATGCCATGTGTGGTGTTGGTAGTCATGTCTATCCACAATCATCTGTCTCATGTACTTTCAATCAATTCTGACACAGATGATCTTCAATGCCATGTGTGGTGTTGGTAGTCGTGTCTATCCACAATCCTCTGTCTTGTGCACTTTCAATCAATTCTGACACAGATGATCTTCCATGCCATGTGTGGTGTTGGTAGTCATGTCTATCCACAATCATCTGTCTCATGTACTTTCAATCAATTCTGACACAGATGATCTTCCATGCCATGTCTGGTGTTGGTAGTCATGTCTATCCACAATCATCTGTCTTGTGCACTTTCAATCAATTCTGACACAGATGATCTTCCATGCCATGTGTGGTGTTGGTAGTCATGTCTATCCACAATCATTTGTCTCATGTACTTTCATTCAATTCTGACACAGATGATATTCCATGCCATGTGTGGTGTTGGTAGTCATGTCTATCCACAATCGTTTGTCTCGTGTACTTTCAATCAATTCTGACACAGATGATCATCCATGTCAAACTGTCCAGTATTTCTTTCATGTTCTTCCTTTGCCTCTGTTGCCCTTTTGGCTTTCCCGCCGCCATGTGCCTTCCTGCATCAACCAGATCAGAAATTTGACAAGCAAATGTTTGAATTTAGATGGGAAGCAGAGACATCTTTTCCTTTCTCCTATTCGTGTTCTACCTTCCAGCATCAGGCTATAAAAAGAAATCTGGTGAAAGCTCTCACATGGATTTCATTCATGCATTCCTTAATTGTTAAATTTATATATGTCTAAGATTCCTTCATTCTTTCTCGCTCTCGCATGCACACACACACACACATATATATATATATATGAAAGTACCTCTCTCTTATTCTTCAACATTCGTCCCGAGTGACATAAATGCGTTGTGCCTGTTCTTAGAACAGATGCAATATTTGTGCCTTCTGGATGACAAATTCATTTGTTTTCTGGGTTAACCTTCTCGATTAGTTTTGTGGGTCACTGTGGAAAATTTCACAACCTCATTTGTGTGGTCTACAGGTAGGGGGCAGAACATGGGAATTCCCCACCATCTAAAGTGGCCTCCATTAATGCAGACCCAATACATAGCACTCTAGTGCTGGGCTCATCAAAGGAATCTCTCTACACCGGATAGTAGTACTCTCGAAAGTTACAGTCAATAGGATCGACTTCACTGCACCAGGTTTGATCCCATATGGCTCAGTCTCTCTCCGCAGAACTGCTAGCCGCCTGCTGAAAGTGACGCATAAAGCACAAACTCTACAGCTCCGGTGGCAAACATCGCCAATTTCTGAAAAATTGAAAAGACGGCGCGGTGAAATTATTCTGCGACCTTCAGAGTGCGAGGCAAACTGCTTGACTACTTCATCTACTTACTAGCTAAACACCTGACAGTGCCACACCCTATACATACCTGAAAGTACCTCTCTCCACATCCTGTCCACTCAGTCTTACATGGATTCCCTCCTTAAGCAGCGATCCAAATGCCAGTGCTTCTCCCAGGGCCCAGTCTGCTTGACGGTTCTCAACCATTTCAGCACGGGCCTTCAGTACCCGTTTTAAACCTGGCCACAGATGAGGTACACAATATAGTCATAACAATAAATATATATACACACACACACATCAGACAGCTGTTTGCTACAATGACAAATCGTGCAAAGGAGGGGGATGCATACATATTTCAGCAACAACCAAAAAATATGTGCATATCTAAGTATAACAAAATGTAATTTTAATCAAGACATTAATACAAGTTAACTTTGATTCTACAACTATAAGAGGCGCTCCAAATGGTTTCTTTAGTGTCCAGACACTTCTTATTATGGGAGAATTACTGGTTAGATAAAGCTGGCCAAAATGAGCAGTAGAATGATTTCATAAATCTGTTTCGATTTTTTTTTTGTTACAGGGCTTTTCTTTCCAATCTTTTTGTTGATATTTTTTTGAGTAACATCTTTTGAAAAACCATTCTTCTACATTTCTATACTGTAATTCAACCTACTTCCCCAAAAAAAATCCACAGAATAGTTTAAGATTGAAAGCTGCAGATATGTTTGGCAGACATTTTTTTTAAATTTTAATTTGTGCGTGTAAAAATTAATTCATGGATATGGAAAACCAATGGAAAACACTGCATTAATTTAAATATCAATTTATGAATGCTGAGTTTAAACAAAAGTGAGTGGATCCACTTCACGGCTCCAAGGTTTATTTATATCATATCGCTGTCCCTCTAAGAAATACAGCTAGTCACTGACAGAGAATGTCACACAAAGCATGAAACTCCGTAGCCCCAGCAATGACTCTCCACCTCTCCAAAGGATCTCTGAAATACTTGAACCATGGCATGCTGGTGTTGTTGACAAGGAAACAGCTGATACGACTGGCTTGCTCAGCCGCAGTTACAGATGACCAGCTTATGAACTGCGCCAACATTGTTAACGCCCTTCAAGAGAGAGGACAAGCAGAGGATTTGCGAGTGCAGTGTGTCCACACTGCTGCTAAGAATGCAAGAACTGGGAGTAAGGATAAGTACAACCAGGTAATAGAGGCACAATCAGTCAAGTCTTGTCATCCAGCACAGGACTGGCACTATTAGCCACAGACGCTGATGTATATGTTGAAAGTGAAAAATGAGTACCTGTGGATTTGCCCACAGTGTTAAGAAGATAACTGTAAATGATACCGAACAACAGAATGCGAGGAAAAGGCTTCACCAACTAGTCAGGCAACCTCTCAGTTTACACAAAGTCAGTCACAAAACTAGAAACACTGCAGTGAATATTCTTTAAAAATGTATCAGGTAATCTCAGTTCCAACTTGGTAGCAAATGGGTCACCCACAGTTCCTCCACTCCTGTGCCAATGTTCCTCGACTCCTTTGCCAATGTTCATCGACTCCTGTGCCACATCTTCCTCCATTAATGTGCCAATGTTCCTCCACTCCTGTGCCAATGTTCCTCCACTCCTGTGCCAATGTTCCTCCACTCCTGTGCCAGTGTTCCTCCACTCCTGTGCCAGTGTTCCTCCACTCCTGTGCCACTGTTCCGCCACTCCTGTGCCAGTGTTCCTCCACTCCTGTGCCAGTGTTCCTCCACTCCTGTGCCAGTGTTCCTCCACTCCTGTGCCAGTGTTCCTCCACTCCAGTGCCAGTGTTCCTCCACTCCAGTGCCAGTGTTCCTCCACTCCTGTGCCAGTGTTCCTCCACTCCTGTGCCAATGTTCCTCCACTCCTGTGCCAGTGTTCCTCCACTCCTGTGCCAGTGTTCCTCCACTCCTGTGCCAGTGTTCCTCCACTCCTGTGCCAGTGTTCCTCCACTCCTGTGCCAGTGTTCCTCCACTCCAGTGCCAGTGTTCCTCCACTCCAGTGCCAGTGTTCCTCCACTCCAGTGCCAGTGTTCCTCCACTCCTGTGCCAGTGTTCCTCCACTCCTGTGCCAGTGTTCCTCCACTCCTGTGCCAGTGTTCCTCCACTCCAGTGCCAGTGTTCCTCCACTCCAGTGCCAGTGTTCCTCCACTCCAGTGCCAGTGTTCCTCCACTTCAGTGCCAATGTTCCTCCACTCCAGTGCCAATGTTCCTCCACTCCTGTGCCAATGTTCCTCCACTCCTGTGCCAATGTTCCTCCACTCCTGTGCCAATGTTCCTCCACTCCTGTGCCAGTGTTCCTCCACTCCAGTGCCAGTGTTCCTCCACTCCTGTGCCAGTGTTCCTCCACTCCAGTGCCAGTGTTCCTCCACTCCTGTGCCAATGTTCCTCCACTCCTGTGCCAGTGTTCCTCCACTCCTGTGCCAGTGTTCCTCCACTCCAGTGCCAGTGTTCCTCCACTCCTGTGCCAATGTTCCTCCACTCCTGTGCCAATGTTCCTCCACTCCTGTGCCAATGTTCCTCCACTCCTTTGCCAATGAAAATCACACAGAATGCCCATAACTGTCCTTTGAAAAAAAAACTGACGCAGACTGCAGTCTCAGCAAACTCAACATCATACATGCGGTTTAAATGCATTATAAAGGTGCAAGAACTGATTAACTTGACACAACAAAAACACATCATCCTAGGGCTTGAACCTGTTTCTACAGGTATGAGAAATCTGCATTCTAACAAGTTGTTTTTTCCAGAAGAATAACAAATTGGATAATACTAAATTTCATGTGTGATTACCCTTGAAAGGGCAGTTGTCACACTGTGTTGTGGTCTACAGCTGGGCTGCTACATCTACATCTTTCAACCCAACACCTTCAGCAAACCTCTACTTATGTTACCGTTTACAGCATGCTTGTTGAGGGGGCAAATTGGGCTATGAAACCCGCACAGTAAAAAAACAACCATTTACAAGCAATCTGTTTCAGACACACCTCCATGTATAACGAAATCCTCCGGCGGTGTGCTGAATACAGTTCCAATATGTCGTAAGGTCTCTTCAGTCACCCCTGTAATCGGCAGACGCATTGGGTCACGACCTTCAAAGAAGCCACTCCATGGGGAGTCCAGCCAATCGATGTTGCTGACAGCCGTTTCCTTCTTGGCCAGGGAGTAAGCCTCTTCACAAATTTTATCATATTTTGATATTTCCTCCTATATATAGACCACAGAAATAAAACAAGATTATTTTTAAAATCTAGTCAATTTTATTATCAATAAATGAAATGAACTCAAAGTCACAATTTTAACAGTATGCATCTTCCCTATAGCAACATACAGATTGTGAGTCGTAATCTATCTAACAGTCATTCATGAAGAAAACAGGAGATTCTGAACTGAAATACTATAGAAAGATTCTGAGAATACCACAGACATAGAAGATATGAAATACTGACATGCTAAAAGATCTGAATACCAAGGATACTGACTTTTTTATTTACTTTAAATTTAAAAAAATTTATAAGAATGACTTTTGCAAAGGACCTGATACAAGATGATGATGTTGATGAAAAAATACATTATATTATATTTGAGGTCAGTAGTTAGGTGTTTTGCCACCATCTGCTTGTGCAGATCCCAGGTTGAATAAGATAAACTTTTTAAACACATTTTGTGTGCCCTGAAGCAATGACAACAATGAACCCTTCTTATCAATTTTCTCAATTTCCAAAACAAGCAGACAGTACGAAGTGATGAAACACACATATTTCATTTATCACTATAGGTTTTATGAATACACATTTCAGATATTTATGGCAGATTAACTGAAGAAAGTTGACAAACACATTTTGAGCTCTAAAAATCAAAAGCTGATAAGTACTAAATAATAACAAATACACTTTATGTACTGAATGCTAATAGATATATTTTAAGCCTGTCACCTGAGAAACCCAAACTTGCACTTCTGGTTGGGCCAATCCCCCATAAATGTCACTTTTCTGACTTGTCTATAGTGACCTGTTTGCAAGAAGTTAGTTAATGCTATTGCCTGTGTTCACTTTTGTGCAAACAATTAAGAGGTCAGAATGTCAATTATCATCATCATCAGGTGCTTTGCCAACTGGCGTGGGCGATCATGCCTCTCCATAATCTGCGATCTCCTGCAGCATGTATCAGTTCGTGTGCCAACACACCCCCATACCATGCAACAAGACTGTCGAGCATCTTCTCTCGTTGTCTTTCTCTATCTCTCCTTCCACAGATCTTTCCAGTGGTCACAACATGTTCTATTTTCCCTCTTCTCATAACATGGCCGAAAAATGATGACTGTCTCCTTCTGATGTCTGTGATAAGTTGTCTTCGGGCTCCCGCCTCTTTCAAAACCTCTTGGTTGCTCTTTTGGCTGTCCAAGGTATTCTAAGCATTCTTCTGTAAAACCACATCTCTAAGGCCTCTAGAAATTGTTTGGCCTGCCTACCAATTGTCCCGGATTCAGTATGCGAATTTATTAACTAAAAAAAAAAACATTGGGGGCGCGGGCGTCTGAAACCAAATGGTTTTTTTAAATGCAAATTTCACACAAGCCACAGTGACAGAAGTCATGGAAAAACAGATACATATATTTGTTAGGCCCTGGGTAATGTATTCCATTTATGCATAGAAAATGGGTACCAGGTAAAATCCTGGGAAGTTAAGGTGGCTGGCGTGATGTTGAGCATACCACCCATAGAGTGCCGATTGGTCTACAAAAATATAGGTCTAGCCCTATATGCCTAAAGGGGTGGGGAAAGAGTCATGTTACTTTTACTAAAGAAGAACACACCTCATATTCCTGCTGTGTAAGAGTTCCATTGTTGATAAGAGTCTCTGCATACTTGGCCAGCACTGTCGGCTGTTTGGCAATTTTCTTGTACATTAGGGGCTGGGTAAACATGGGCTCATCAATCTCGTTATGACCAAATCGTCGATAGCAGACCTTGAGAAAGCAATGTTCACAACTGTTAACAGAACTGTGATGACTAAGTGAGCATATAATTACAAAAAGAGTTAAAGCATCACAAATATGCAGTCAAATATTTCAGATCACACAACCAGGCATTCAATAATGAAGTGCTTTCTTTTTAGCCGACCACAAATGACGTCATGGAACATGCCAATATTTTTGAGTTAGGTAAGAGCGGGTTTTCCGTGTTTTCTGTGCTTTACTGAGTTTCTTCCACGGGGGAGGTTTTCGCACGTTTACCTAACCCTAACCGAAACTATACACTTAATCTACCACTCCCTGAAATATCTAACTGTACCCTGACCTGTGAATTTCCCCTGTTTGTGGTCAGCTAATAACAAAGTACCAATAATGATAATTAGCCGTCAATTTATCTTCGGTGCTTCATCCTTCAAGGGGGAGCTTGTCTCGTTGCTAAGAATGTTGGATTCTCATGCAAGAGCAACAGGTAGTGTCAACCGTTGTACACTTGTAGATCAGGAACATATAGGAAAACAATATTTTTTTGGGCCAGGTGAGCTGAAGGCAAAGGCTTAGGCATATATGACGGGTATTCGAAAAGAAATGTCCCTAACTTTTGTCAGCAACTAATGAGGACAGAAACATCAAATTTAGCCCATTTCAGATTAAAAATAATAATACTGTATGACAACTCATTAGGACAAAATGGAACAGCTGCATTTGTTTAAACAGAGGGTGGGAGCAATTTTCATTACAAAAAGATTTATTGTCAATTTCTGGTTGCAGAAAATCAAACTGGGGAACATTCACACATGTTTGTGTGCTGTGTATGGCAGTTGCAGCTGATAGGAGCCACTGGGTTCAGAGAGTTAAAGCTTCAGAAAGTGGAGAGATGGACATGAGAAGGTTATGCATGCGGTGAAGAAATGGCTATATGAAAAGGGCAAATCCTGGTGCAAGCAAAGGTGTAGATAAGGTAACATCACATTTACAAAATTATAAGTCATAAAAATGAACAGAGATTATGTAGAAAATCATGTGTACAGGACATAAGGAGTTATATAGTCAATTTTGTACATTTGGCACAAAAGTTTGCGATAGAAAAGAATTTACAGCGTCATTTCTGAATGACCCTCCCCTTATACAAAAATAAATGTAGGTGGTATTTTGTTCCTCATTTTGATTCCTCCTCTTTCATTTGGCACGCTGTTTAGTAAAACTACTACTGCATGAGTATTTTAAAATACATTACAAGCAGATCCAAGATTACATTACCAAGTCAATAACGACATCCTTGCCGAAAGTGGCCCGCCATTCTGCTGCAACCTTACACACATAGACGACAGCCTCTGGGTCATCTGCATTGACATGGAAGATGGGAGCGTTGACCACTCGAGCTACATCAGTGCAGTATGGTGAAGATCTTGAGGATCTTGGGTCAGTTGTGAAGCCAATCTGTCAGAAAGAAGGACATAAGGATGCAGTTTATATTAATTAAATCTTAAAGGAAGAATTTGCCATTAATGATGCAGAATTACTTTTCTTTTTTCCCCTTTCCATAGTTATTTCTATTTAGTCAAACCTATAGTAATAAAAGAAAAACAGGAAACACTAACTATGACAATATAATGAAATATTTTTACTCTTGTAATTTTTATTTATTTCAAAAACTCTTATTTAATTCAATGTGTATGTGTGTGTGTATATATATATATAAACCATTGTATAACTGGTTGATCAGAGACGTTTTATTTAATCAGTCAATTCTGCTTTTTATTTAAAAAATTATACGAAACAAATAAAATTCTACATTAAGAGGGCTTGAATCCATGGGTAACAGTTCAATATGTAGGCTATATGTGAAGCAAACCCACATTCCTGGTTACAATGAGAAACACACCTGATTGTTGACAACAATGTGGATGGTTCCGTGTGTGGTGAAAGCTGGCAGATCAGATAAATGCAGCGTCTCATACACAATCCCTTGACCAGAAAATGCAGCATCTCCATGCAGCAACATCGGCATCACCTACACAATGAAATCACACAAATGTAATTTCTAAAAAAGACTGTACTATGTTTACAAACAAACAGAAGCGTAATTTTCATAGAAGACAAATAGATCTGTGGCCACAAACCTATAAAACTTAATTTTTACAAAAGACTAACAGCACTGGTTACAAACCCATATAATCATCGGCTAGTAATCAGATATAATTACATTTTCCAACCAAGTATGTCTGACATTATTCACTGTTGAGTTTCAATGTACATAAACCCCATTTTACAGATATGGCTGATTTGTATGAAGAATGTTGGTTCCTTGCTTCTCAGACAGACACATTCTGGGAAAACCCTATTTAGTTGTATTATACTAACATGCTTGGTAGAAGAGCAGAGAGCAGACGGCCTATGTTTTCTGTCCCTCACAATGAGGCCACAGAACTCACAGAGGAAGTATAATGATTTGATTTAGTTGTATCCACTTGAGAATATATAGTGAAATTATGTCAGGCATACATTTTGTAACCTATTTGTGACCGGAGATATAGACAGAATAGGTTTGAAAGAAGATGAGGGAGGGGGAGAAGAAAAAGAGGAGGGGGAGAAGAAAAAGAGGAGGAGGAGAAGGAAGAAAGAGAAAAATAACAGGACAAGGAGGAAGAGAGAATACTTTCTATCTGAAGCAACTTTCTGTAAGAATTAAGACACTCTGAACATATATGACTGAGACAAAGCCTACTGTTACCTTCTTTCCATCTACATCCCCTCTATAGAACATCTCTGCCCTAGCTTTGCCTTCCACGACAGGATCCACAGCCTCCAAGTGTGAAGGGTTGGCCACAACTGCAAGCTTAATGTTCTTATTAGTCACCCTGTTCAAACGCTCGTGGGACATGCCCAGATGGTACTTGACATCGCCTGAACCTTCATCAGCGGCCTCCAGCTTGGAATCAAACTGACAGATGATCTTCTCCAGAGGTTTGCGGCAGACGTTGGCCAGCACATTCAGGCGGCCTCGGTGTGGCATGCCGATGATGAAACTGTCGACGCCCAGAGCGCTGGAGGAGTCGATGATGGTCTTCATCGCGGGGATTAGCACCTCACATCCTTCAAGTCCAAAGCGTTTCTCTGAAGACCACTTGCGGGCCAGGAACTCCTCAAATCTTTGTAAAATCAGAGAATGTTGTTACAATTATTTTGGCCAGACATATAATGAAATGGAGGAAAAGACAGTGAGCCCTACGTGACGTTTAAATGGCACAATAGCATGATGGTGATGATTATGATGATAACTGAAGGTGTACATGTAACACAGGAATCAAGAGAAAAAAACATTTAAATGGCAAATAGCATATTTTTACAGTATACAGTAAAGCCTTCACGCATACTGGGCATACAGTGCTTGACCTGTATTTTAAAGGACCAACTGGCACTTGGTGGGTGATTGTGTTCAGCATCCTCAACAGCATACATCGGTGTGTATGCTTATACTCTACTTTGTCATAAATTAAGGCTTTCATGAATCTTCTCCTGTTATATTCCTCTATCATCTCTCTACATATCTTCTTCTTCTTCTTCTTCGCGTTCACCAGCTGTAAACTCTGGCGGAAGGTTCTGGTTGCTCGTCTACTACTGAACTGCAGTCCTGCTCCAGAACCTGAGTGTTGCGTGTGCATCAGTTTTACAGATCTCATTCTCTTGAATACAGACTGTTGGTTCCTTGCCTCTCCGGCAGACGCACTCCGTCTTCAAAGGAAGCTCCCCAATTAGTTGACTCTTACAACATGCTTTTGGGGAGGCAATGGGTCTATTCTTGTTTTCCCCACAATGGGGCCCCGGAACCCACACAGGGGTCTCTACATATATCTTTCCTGCTGCCAGAATATGCTCCCTTTTTTCTCATCTTATGTAAAGGGCCCTTTTTCCACACCTATAGCCATACTGGTGTCCCACTGATATTGCTAGACACATTTTCAGACAGATTGTCACTCGGACGGTGATGTGGTCAACATCTTGCCAGCCACCTTTACTTCCCATGACTTTTGTAACCATTCAAAGCAGGACAGAGCTGGAAGCCAAGATAATTTTGTTTTAGCAAAGTCTGAATTTGAACCTACGACCTTCGGATCCGCATGCAAGTGTCCAAATGCTACATCATGGTGGCTTCCTTTCTCATCTTATGATGTGGCACACACACAAAAATCACAACCAAATGCAGACTACACAAGCTGCAGCAGTTGTACCTGGTGGATCTGATCAGCCTAGCCATCAGCATTCTCCTCTCCTCTGCACTGAACTGCATACTTCCTGGTACCTCAAACTTCTGTCGAATCCAATCAGTCTGCTGTAAGTTGTTGATGAACATAAATTCAATGCCAATCGTCCGACAGTAAACATTCTGGTAGAAGAAACAATAATTATCTCTAAAAAGGTTTACACACAATTCAAAAATAATGTTTAGAAAGATGAAGGCATAAAAGTGTACCTGATGTACAAGTGTACCTGATGTACAAGTGTACCTGATGTACGAGTGTACCTGATGTACGAGTGTACCTGATATACGAGTGTACCTGATGTACAAGTGTACCTGATATATAAGTGTACCTGATGTACAAGTGTACCTGATATATAAGCGTACCTGATGTACAAGTGTACCTGATGTACAAGTGTACCTGATATATAAGTGTACCTGATGTACAAGTGTACCTGATGTACAAGTGTACCTGATATAAAAGTGTACCTGATGTACAAGTGTACCTGATGTACAAGTGTACCTGATATATAAGCGTACCTGATGTACAAGTGTACCTGATGTACAAGTGTACCTGATATATAAGTGTACCTGATGTACAAGTGTACCTGATATATAAGTGTACCTGATATATAAGTGTACCTGATGTACAAGTGTACCTGATGTACAAGTCGACCTTCATATTTTTAGATCAAAATGTTAATGCCTATACCTAACATAAATTATACCCACCATATAAGACGACCCTTAGTTTTGGAATGATTGTTTTAATGCTTAAAAACTCAACTTCTAGGACACAATTACCGGTACTTTTCTAGTTTGCTTTACAGAATACAAATCTGCAGCTGTTAACATGCACAGCAGTGAAACAAAGAGGTGAGGAATGTGCATATATTAGCTTTATTTTAATTTTTTTTTAATGAAGGAAGGGCTGATCTGTCCAAGCCTGGTCAAGTCTGTGATAATCATTGTTTTAGTTGATTCTGTATCTTTCTACACCTTGCATTGCTCTGCATAACTCTTGTTTTCTCAAAGGTTAAAGGGTACTTCAAACAGGTGTTTGGGGAAATGAGCAGGAAGCAGATTTGCTGGTTCTGCACTATTTGGTGGTAAACTGATGCATGACAAGCCGGATGTTGTCAAGGCTCTGGACAGATATCAGAGAGAGAGGGGAGAATATGGAGCAGAGAGTGACAAGGTTAATAGGGGCTAGGCGTGCAGGGGCTAGCCAGCAGATACTGCACAATCAGAAATTCAACAATGATTTATGACAGGGCCCGATCAGGTGATGTGATTACCTATACAGGTGGATCTGTGCTGAGAAGAAGAAGTGCGTAGGAGCTCACTGTGAAAGTGAATGGATGATGCTTAGTGAAACAAAATCTAGCATATGATACTACATCACATAGTTTGAGAATGGAGGTGGAGGCAGTCACAGTAGATTTCTGGTGGCTTGAGAACCAGCTGCAGACACCTGCTGTGATTCCAACTGATTAATAAAGCATGCCAAGAAAGGTGGACTTGTGGGCCAGGAACTCCTCAAACCTTCGTCAAAACCATAGTACGCTGTTGCAATCATTTTGGCCAGACACATAATGGAATGCGGGAAAGTAACACACTGCAAAGGACCTGCTACAGGCTAATGATGATGCAGACTTAGCTGCTTAAATAACCAGATGCCGAGATAAGAGCTATTAACAATTTGTGTGTGTTACCTGCAGCCGTCGAATGATCTCCCTTAAAGGTAAAACCGTTTCATTGCCGCCGATGTAGGTTGTCTTGGGCAGACGAAAAACCCGGTCAAGGTCTGCTTCACCTGAATGGAATGGTTTGAAAGACAGGCTCAGAATATCATACACTAAAATAAATCTACCAAAACAAAACAAAAAAACACACGCCAAAAAAAAAAGCTAGATTAATAAACAGATATGAGCGTTTTTATGATGGTGTTAAGTTCTTAAGAAGCTACTGGGTGTTTTTATTTATCCACTTCTTAATCTCAGTAAGATGAAAGATTTATTGAATACCTGTTTCTTAAATTCTTTTAGGTGTCTTATGGTAATAATGGGTTTGGAAGGCACAATAAACCATGCATGTCATAAGTAAAAGGTAATTAATTAGGGCTTTGCTGCAATCACATGTTGGGCCAGAAGGCACTGTTTTCGCAGCCTAGCTGTAAATCACAATGTACCAACCACCCCTGGAAAGGGCGAACGCTTAAGAAAAAGAGCCATCTTTAACATCTGTTAATTTGTGGGCTGAAATCTTCCCTCACAACCAGAATTGTCTTTTATTGTGTTACCCTACCTCTTTTTCCATAAATCATTTCTGTTGTCACAAGTTATAGTATTTCTATATTCAAAACAGGATCAAAACTTCGTGCCTGCTCTTTAATGTTGTTTGTGATATCTTTGGGTGTTAACTCTTTCAAAATATTTGGATCACTGTGTGTATGTTGTTGTTTCCCTTCCCCCTCTCATTAGCTTTTCAGTGAGAATTGATTGGATTAACTTCTTTTGTACTGTGTTGCCTTTCAGCTTAAGGTTTTGAGGAAACATCAGGTGTGTGCTACCTAGATGCTAGTATTTACACCCTTGGATATTCCATCTATCCACACTTGCGTGGTCGACCTCTGGCTCTGCTTCCATTATGTCTAAGTGGCAAGGCTCTCTGTCGTGCAGTCTGGACACCTGTTCTAACCATCTGATCTGCTGTCTCTTAATGTAATTTAATACTTGTTCTAACTTCTCTTCTGTCCTGATATCGTCATTTCTGAACCTGTCTCTACCAGTTACATTTAGGATTGGCTGTAGACATTTCATTTCTGTTGTTTTGATTCATCTTATGTCGACAATCTAGAGTATTTTCAGTATTCTTCAGTGACAGCCCCATTTGTAAGAAGAACAAAGGATTTGTTTCATTTTTCTAGTCAAATAAGCTAACATAAACTCGCTTAAGATGAACAGTTGGTTAATATAAAGACAAATTTTGCGCAGCAGGGACACAGTCCTCGGTGAACACAAATTCTTTTAATAAGAACTCTGATGTTCAGTTCCTGGGAATTCGTGTTAAAAAGATTTTACTGCATTAGTTCAGGACTGTGCAGTAATTAGTAAATTTATCATAAGCTAAATACTTTTAGCATCCCTTTCCCAAATCTCAGAACACTTGGACTCAACTCTTTTTCTCTCCCTCCTCCTCTATCTTTTTATTGATATGCACAAAAAACACATACAACAGATAAGAAAGGTGAGCATAGTGTTACTTATAATGTATACATAGATAAAATATGGAACCGAGATTATATAAATACAATGTCACTTGAAAACAAAAAACAAGTAGCCACTGTTTATACTGGGACTCCCAAAGGTGTGAAAGAGAAAGAAAAAACACAAACCGAAAGAAATCAATCAAGCGTATAAGAGACACCAATGATTCATGTAAATTAACTCGCTGCTCTACGCTGGTAAACAGGCTATACAGCATTTGTTAATTCTGAAATCTGAAGAGTTCATATAATGTTTTGTTTAATATATTATGATCCAAGTGGATAAATATTTGTATAAACCCTATTTAAAAACAACTAAAATGAGCTTTTTTAAAATGTTTAAATTCTAAAATGATCATATTTCTAAACCAGGATCCGTATGTAAATAAAATTAGGGACTTTGACAGTGTTTACAAAAAATTTAATATTATTTCCTATCTAAAAATTCAATTTCTGAATGTCCCAGGAAAACAGTTCAGGTACTCTGATAATTCAAAAGCGACAACTCATTAAAGGATGTAATAAAGGGACAAATGGAGGACAAGCATGCAAAATTAACACGTCACATGTGGGTAGACTATTTCAAGATATTAACTAGTAAAACTATGGAAGAGTTCATCATAAAGGTACAGAACAGAGGATGCTGTCGACATTACAGCTGTAAATTCAAAGTTAAGAGAGCACTTAAGAACAATGGCAATAAAAGTTTGAAAATTACAGTAACCGTTTCTTGAGTGGGTTCCTGAGCCCCATTTAGGGGAAAATAAAAATAGACTGACTGGCCCCCCAACTTGCATGTGGTAAACAGTGACTAATTAGAATTGTCTCTATTGAAGTGGGAGTGCATCTGCCGGAGAGATCAGGAACCAACAGTCTACAACACAAATAAGCCAGATGGTAAAAAGGAACTGAACACAAAATTCAAATTTTGGAACAAGACCAAAGACCAGAAGTCGATGAACAGCCACCTGAGTTTACAGCTGGCAAACGCTAAGGACAAGACAATTTAAGATTTATTTGTGTAAATTTCTTATGTGACCAGTTTTATAAAGAAACTTACTATTAACAGCATTATTATTTATTGCCTGTCAGACACAGAGTTATTGGAACTTGCTTCTTCCTATCACACTTTTCCTACGTGAGGTTTAGCACAGCTTCTAACCCACATCAAGGCATGCAGTGTCCACCAGCAAGAAGCCAGGGTAAAATCAAAGGTTACATAAGCAAGCCAAAAGAAATACTTTAAACTATTATTTAATGCCATGCAGAATAAGCCACTGCCATGCAGAATAAGCCACAGACTAAAAAACGGGATGTAGGACAACTAATTTTTCATGTCAAATCACCCTTTTCAGAAAGTTTATTTAAAAAAAACTGTCCGGGTGAAAGTATGCAGCCTAATTACATTATGACATTAAAATCAGTGTTACATTCATCAAAGCTTAAATCGATAACAAGCTGAGAGCATGCACGAGTAGCTTGTAATGTAGTACTAGTAGCTGGTAGCTTTTACTGCAAGAGTGGCGTAAGCCTGCACTGAGTGTACTTTTCACTATGTTAATATTTCATAACAAGCTGTATGTGCTCGGCGAGACGTAAGCCAAGTGGCGTATTTGCAATACACAGTAATTAAAAATTTTAAAAAGTAAAATAATGCATTTCTTTTTCTTACAGTAGAAAGTGTAAGTGGTTATTACAGCCATTATATACACACCTTGCCGCTGTAAAATATGCACACACATAGTCGACCTAGTGACGTTTCTAGGGGTACTGTTTTCTTAACTAACCATTACAAAAAAAAAAACTCTTTTGTGTTAAAGACTGGAAAAAGAAAGTATACATCAGCTTTACAGGTTAAATTACAACAGACAAAAGGACATTCCGGTGTTAGCCTTCATCAGTAGAATAAAGAAAAACAAAACAGAACAAATAAAAATGAATCGGCTCTGAAATGAACACATTACGGTTTTTAAAATTATGTAAATGAAATAAAATAATAATAAACGACACAATTATATAAAGTATAATATTATAGTATATTGTGAACAACCATTACAGTAAAACATTTCAGTGTACAACAACTGACTCTATCCTACATAATTTATTTACAACAGTAAAACTAATAAAACTAGCAAAGATGACTCCAGCTAACAGGATACGGCCATCTCAAGGTCACCTCCACAACTTACCCATACTGTAATACTGAATTTGGAGCTCTTTTTCTTCAGGAACTTCCTCAAGCTCTAGAGGGTCTAACTTGGCCATTCTGTGACCTCGGATCTGACATATGCAAATAAGTATGTGAAGAAGAAAAAAGGTAAAGTACAATCAAAGTCCTCCTTCTTTCCTTCTTTTTTCATTTTGTCCTGCTCCTTTAGAAGCAAATTGTCATAGAGTGAAGTTATATAGTTTCCTGCTGCTTTTGCTCCAGTCTGACCAGATGTCCAAACCATTTGATTCTTAGATGTTGCATGAAATCATTCACCGGTACTGCGCCTATTAATGTTCTTAGCTCTTCACTGGTGACTTGTCTCTTCTTGTTTTTCCAACCGCATTTCTTATACATCGCATCTCACATGTTGTAATTCTGTGTTTATGTTTTTCTAGAACTGTCCATATCTGACACTGATAGCACAAAGCTGGTACAAATAGCTCATGTATCAGCCGCTTTTCTGTGTGGAAACTGATATTCTGATGCCTCAAAACTGGCGCTATTTGGTAATTTATGCTGCTGGCCTTCAGCATTCTATTTTTCTGTCCGATCCTCTCCATCCTCTGTGAATAAACTATCTAGCGTGTTTTAATGTCTCTCCTGAAAATGTGATGACATGTTGAACTGGTGTTTGGTTTACTGTCAATATTTCTAGGTTAATGTTTCCGTATTTTTCACACCAATTCCATGTCTTTAGTGCATCGAACCTAAGGTGGTAGGTCCATATTTTTATAAGCCAATCGGTCAGCTAAGTGAAATTTATCAGGAAATCACGGGGTAACAAGATTAAAACAGAACCCTCTCTTGATGTCATAAAGGTGTCCGAATGATGGCTTTCAAATGAATTTGCCTTGCCCCAGCAGTTGCTTCCTTCTGATTTTTTTTTCCTACTGGCTGCTACCTGAAGGTTTGACCACCCTGAGATATAAAAATCTTATTCTGAATAGGCAGCCAATGGGAACAAATCCCAGACACTACAGTCAACCTCCAAAGAGGTTATAATTGGGGCATCCTTATGGCTACATCAGCCTGGTGGAGTAAACTTAGTTGCCCAGGTGAAATCATCATATGCTGGGTGAACAGTTAATCTATCTGTATATCAGATGGTGACAACTTGAGCTTTTGATTTTTTTCAGCTTCTATCTGTATATCAGATGGTGACAACCTGAGCTTTTGATTTTTTTTCAGCTGCTATCTGTATATCAGATGGTGACAACCTGAGCTTTTGATTTTTTTCAGCTGCTATCTGTATATCAGATGGTGACAACCTGAGATATTGATTTTCTTCAGCTTCTATCTGTATATCAGATGGTGACAACTTGAGATTTTGATTTTT